TGGACATGGGGACATCGGGACATCGGGACACAGGGACATGGGGATGCGGTGACGTGGGGATGTATGGACATGGGGACATAGGGACGCAGGGATATGGGGATGTGGTGACATGGGAATATATATGGACATGGGGACACATGCAAATGGGGCTGCAGTGACCTGGGGACATGTGGACACGGGGGCATGTGGATGTGGGGATGCAGTGACATGGGCATACATGGACACGCAGACGTGTGGGCATGGGGACATAGTGACGTGGAGACACAGGGACGGACAGACATGGAGAAACAGTGACATGGGGACACATGGATGTGGGGACATAGAGATGCACGGACATGGGGATGTAGTGGCATGGGGACACAAGGACACACAGGTATGGGGGTACAGTGATGTGGGGATACGGGGACACATGGGCATGGGGACAAGTGATGTGGGACATGGGGGTGTGTGGACATGGGGACACACCGACATGGGGACACGGTGACACGGGGACCCGTGAGCACAGTGCCACAGGTACAAGCAGACCCAGGGACACATGGGCACGGGGACACAGGGACAGCATGACACGCAGACACGGGTGCACGTGAACGTGGGTACCTGCGGACACAGTGACACGGGTGCTCACAGACATGGGCACACAGTGACATGGGGACACGGGGACATAGGTACCCGGTGACAGGGGCACGCAGTGACATGGTGACACCCACCAAGCCAAGCCAACAGCAGCATCCCTGTCCCTGTTGCCATGTCCCATCCCCCCCCCAGTGCCATTCTGGAACGCGTCCCAGCGCCGTGGTGGCAGCGCCTCGGTGACAGCACCCGGTGGCTCAGGGATGTGGCCATGCTGCGGCTGCTGGTGGCCAGCGCCCACATCCCCGGGGCCACCGGCTCCGGTCCCGGTGTGCACGTGTCTGCCCGCTTCAGAGGTACCGCTGGGTACAGGGAGGGGGGGGGGACACACCGCGGTGGCCGTCCCCATGGGACGGGATGGCGTCGGCCATCCTGGTGTACCGGGGCGGCATCTTCATGGGATGGGATGGTGCTGGCCACGTTTGGGGACAGCGCTGGCTGTCCCCACACATGGGGACAGTGCCAGCCTTCCCCTTGCACCCCGACGTCCCCACCCTGACGTACCACCGCCCTCCCTCCCGTGTCCCCCCCCAGGCGTCCCCAGGAGCACCCGGGTGGTGCCGGAGGAGCGCAGCCCCACTTGGAATGAGGTGAGGTGACCCCAGGGTGGGCTGCGGTAGCGTGGGGACACTTGGGTCACCCCACTGACCCCTTGTCACCTCTCCCCCCCCAAAAAGACGCTGGCATGGCCACTGGGCACGCGTCCCCTGCACCCCACGGCCAGCCTGACCCTGCGCCTCCGGCACTGGGGCCAGCCAGCACCCCGGGGGTGAGTAGCGCCCATGGGTGGGCACTCTGGGGGGACCCCCCGCTCCAGTGTGGCCACCCTCACTGTGTCCCCCGTCCCCACAGGGACCTGGGTGCCACCACGGTGTCACTGGACCGGTTGATGGCCAACCCCGGGCTGCCGCTGGCCCTCAGCCACGTCCCGCTGCTGGACCCACGGGGACAGGCCACGGGGGTGAGCACCCACCCACGCACCCACCCAGCAGCACCCTAGGGTGCTGCCGGACACGGTCTGGGGTGCCACCCATCCATTCGCAGTGCACCGTCACCCTCCGCTGCTCCTACGTCCCCCGTGGCACGGCCGGGGACGCCACGGTCCCCCTGCAAGGACCGGTGCCACCGCCGGCAGCGTCACCGGCAACAGCCCACCGCCCCGGCGAGCCCCCGGCAGGGAGGAAAGAGGATTTCCAGGTATGGCACCCATGGGTACAGTGGGACCCGGGGGTGATGTCCCATCTGGCCACCACGTCACCACCTGTGCCATAGGTACGGGTGAGGATCATCGAAGGCCACCAGCTCCAGGGCAATGACATCAAGCCAGTGGTGACGGTCCTCATCGGCCAGCACCGCTTCAGGACCAGGATCCGAGCTGGGAACAATCCCTACTACAACGAGGTGACACTGGGGAGGGGACATGGGGACCCGCCGGTGTCCCCTCACCCCGCCCTCACCCCCTTTTGCCCATTTTCTAGGTGTTTTGCCAAAATTTCCACCGGATGCCCGCCCAGCTGGCGGCGGAACCCATCCGCATCCAGGTTGGGGAGGGGATCGGTGGCACTGGTGGGGACAGGGACAGCGGGGTGGCCACTGACGCTGCGTGTCCCCCCCAAATCACAGGTGCTGGACTCACGGGCCACCCGTGCCGAAGCCGTCATCGGCGTCTTCCAGGTGAGGACGGTGGCTCAGGAACGCGGTGTCACGCCGTGGTTCGGCCTCTCTCACCCCCTCTGCCGTCCCCGCAGCTGGACGTCGGCACCGTCTACCGCGCACCGGGTAGGCGAGAGGGTTGGGGTGACACCGCGGCGACACCGGGCTGACACCGGGGTGACGATGCCGGGGGTCTCCCACCGTGCCAGGACGCAGCTTGAGCTGGAAGTGGCTGAGCCTGCAGCATCCGAATCGCCCCGACGCCGGGTCCCGGGGTTACCTCCGCGTCAGCCTGGCTGTCCTCCGCGCCGGCGAGCCGGTGCCAGTGAGCCCCCCACCACCTTCCCCAGCCACCCCCCAAAAAAATATTCCCTGGGCGGGGTTGGTCCCCATTTTTCCATCCCCCCATAAGGAGCAGGAGGAGCCGGCGCGGGACGAGGACGTAGAGGCCAACCTGCTGCAGCCACCGCCGTGTGCTGCCACGCTCCAGCTCCGCGTCTACCGCGCCGAGGACCTGCCACAGGGTGGGCACCGGGGTGGGTTTTGGGAGATAGGGGGGTGTGGATCTGGGGGACCCCCCCCGCCCACCTCTCCCCATCCCCGGTGCAGCAGAACCGGCTCGGCAATGCCTTCCCTCGGTGCTACCGGCTGGCGGCAAGAGGGGCTTCCTGGCAGCAGCGGTGCGGGTCGCCTTTGCCGGCAGGACGGTGGGTGCCAGGCAGGGGATGGGGGATGGGGGGGGCCAGATGCTGCTTTGGGGGCGCTCATGGCTCTGCCCGATGCAGCTCTGCACCCGGGTGATGCCCCCCGACGCCAACCCAACGTGGAACGAGGTCTTCTTCTTCCCTCTGCGGGTGAGGTGACCCCCCCTCCCAGTCCCGGCACGCATCCTGCACCCCCCCCAAAGCAGGATTACCCCAAAAAAGGGGGTGCACCCACATTTCAACACCACACACCCCTGTCATTTTCTCCCCACAGTTGCCCCCCATCTGTGATGAGATCCAGCTGGCCATCCTCAGCGGGTAAGTGGGGGACACCCCCCGGTTTTGGGGGACCCCTGCCAGTTTCGGGGGGACCCCCACCCCTTTCGCTGTCCACCCATAGGTCCCGCAGCAGCAAAGTCCTGGGCACCGCCACCCTCCACCTCTCCCAAATCTCCTCTGCCGGTGCCGAGCTTGAGGGTGAGGAGGGTCCAACCCTTGGGTGGGGGGTCCCCAGCACCCTGACCCCCCCCTTCACCCATTGAACCCCCTCTTTCACTCCCAGAGGGGACCCCCGGCTTCTCACCCTGCTTCGGACCCAGCTTCCTCCCCTTCTACGGTCCCCGGCCAGATCCTGCCAGAACACCCAGTACTGTGAGTGGGTTCCAGAGTGGGGACAGCACCCATTTGGGTGGGGGGACGACACCCCCAGCCACCCCAACCCACCCCACCCCTAATTTTACAGGACACCGGGCTGGCTTATCGGGGTCGGGTGCTGCTGGAGCTCAGCACCCACATGGGGACCCCGGACGGGCGCCAGCGAGACACCATCGCCCCTGAGGACATCGCCCGGGCACAGGTGGGGACACGGTGCGATGTCACCCTTGGGGTCTTTTGTTTTTTTAAGTGCCATTTGAGTATTTTGGGGGGATATTTTAACCTGTTTTTTTGCCGCAGCGCCACTTGCCCCGCCGCCAATTCGGGTTGTGCGGGGTCTTTTATTCGGCCACCATGGTGCCAGCCAGCCCCGAGCTCCTGCGCTTTGAGCTCAGTCTCGGCAATTACGGGGACATGGGCGATGTCACCTGCAAGCCGGCTGCTTCCGTCACCCCACACGGTTGTCCCCTCTTCGATGGTGAGCGGGATGCTGTGTTGGGGACACACACACAAGGGTGGTCCCCTCCAGCATCCCATGGGATGCTCGGTGCTCTCCGGATACAGGCAACCGCTATCACTACCTGCCGTGGTACGGTGACAAGCCGGTGGCAGCTGTCACCTCATCCTGGGAGGACGCCGGTCACCGCTGGGATACCCTAAACCTCCTGCGTGCCATGTGCCGGCGATTGGTGAGCACCCATGGGTGATGGCGGGGTGGGATGTGACCCCCCACTCTGGGTCGGGATGGTTTGGGGACATCTTTGCAGGAGAGGAACGTGACGGAGCTGCAGGACGCCCGGGGGGACGCCGGGGGGGACATCGGCAGGAGGCTGCTGCGTCAGCTGGCGCAGGACTGCAGGTGAGCGGGTGGTCCCTGGGGTGGGGGGGCTTGGGTGTCTCAAAGAGATGGGTGGTGGGATGCTGCCGGGGGGGGACGACCCCTGGGCCTGCCAAGCAGTGG